GATGTCTAATCTAAACCTACTCTCTAATAATTTGTGTCCATTGTTCCTTGTCATGCCAGGGGGTGCTAGGGGAAACAGTGTCTCCCCTAAACACTTCTGGTCGCCCCTAGTGAGTTTATAGACAGTCCCCAGGTCCCCAGGTTTGTCTGTCCATGCTCTTTTACATTAGGGCTAAATCCTGCTATGTGCTGATTACCCACATCTCAGATTCTGATGAATTTTTCCTCAATAAAAATGTCAAGATAGTAACATAGCCTAATGCTTTTATAATTGTATCCATACTCACTTCAATAATTCATATTGACTTAAATGAAATTATGCACATACATATTTGGAGGACTGGGTCCTTAGATCAGAAGCTACTTGGAAAAGGGATCAGCATAGTAAGGGCAACGGAACCTACATCACCCCAGCATATAGTTCTCCCCCCAATTTTGTTAACCTCTAAAAATATTAGATTTTATTTGATTTTGCCAGTACCTAATGAACAAATATTAACAGAATACTGAAACACGAACTTTGACATAAGAGGTATTACAATTTTAAAAACACTTTCTCACTGACTTTACAACTGATGCAGTAACATTTTAAGAGGTTGCTTTTTTCAAGTATGCAATAAGATCTGCTCTCTCGCTGCTCTTTTTAATGCCAGCAAAAAGCATTTTTGTTCCAGGAATATATTTCTTAGGGTTCTCCAAATACTCCATCAATGTATTTTCATTCCAGATGATACCTGAAACATAATAAAGAATTATGTACTACTCTCCTAACAGCTGATTCAACATATAGCTAAGTATATCAAACATATTGAGAGTCTCAGGATATAGGGTATAGGCAGGAAAGGTTCTTTGGGTCTCAGTCTCCCTCTGCCTGAAGAAGGGTGCTTGTTTCTGAAAGCTTGCAAAGAACAGTTTTTCCAGTGATTCAGTTGTTCTAATAAAATATATCACAGTTACTCAAAGAACCTTGTCTGCCTATGTCCTTAGACAAACACAGCTACAACCTACACACCCAAAACATGTCAAGATCTAGAGTATGCATTTCTGAAAATAATCTTCTTAGACTGTCAGGGGAGTATACAAATGAATGATATATGACATCCAATTTTCAATAGTGCCTGAACACATTTCATATTTCACACACAACTGTTAAATTTACTTTGATTCATTTTAGTAAGCCAGAATTAAAAAGTGTAATCACTTGAGCATTTTGGAGAGCTGAATGTATTAAAGCCAGTTCACATTTTGAATATTTGCTACTTTAAAGTAATAAATATAGTTTCAGTACTGTACCTGGAAAAAGAGACCATACATTCTGGCAACACAGACTTAGTTTCTACCTAGGTTTGAATCCAAAGATTTTCTATTTATTATCAAATTAATTCTCAGACACTTATTTTCAATTTCTTCCAGCCCTGCCAGGTCCTGTGATCCTATCAATAATGGCTTCTTACTAACAGGAGAAGCCCATTAACTGAAGACCATTAACAGATCAAGCAGTAACAGCATCACTCATGTCTGTCATTCATTTTCAGCGTATAGTTAGTTAACATGATTTCTAAGATGAATCTGTCTTTAAAGTGCACTTAGATACCATACAGCCAGTTTATTTTTAAATGCATGTGGTATCACTTGTATTATTAGTTCACAGAATTACATTTTCTGAGTAGAAACTGCCATTAACTGCCAAGTATATATTTATTTGTATGAAGAAATTCTCTTCTCCTACCAATGAAGTCCTAGTATAAGACTGAATAGCCAAAGATTAAAGAAGTTTTGGAATTTATTTGAATAACTGAAACAAAATACTTGTGGTCAATATCTTTACTCCCAATATGAACACCCTTCTATTTAATTACATAAAAATACCTGTTTGGCTTTCAGATAATTCAGAATTATCTTAATTAAAATACATGAATACACTATCATATAATACAGGCAACCCTCGCCATTTGCAGGGGATACGTTCTTCAGATTCTAGTGAATGACGAAATCCGCAAATACGACACTGTGTTTATGAACATCATGAATGCAGTAGCCCTGGTGGCTGAGGGGGCACTGCTGTGCTGGCGACAGCAGGAGCCCAGTGGCGACAGTGGGAGCCCAGCGGCGGCAGCGGAAGTGTGGCAGTAGCAAGTGCGGAGCTCCCGAGGAGCTCCTGCAAGTGTATTTAAGATGCAGGTTTGGCATTCGCAAATATTTGAAACCGCGAATACCGAACCTGCGAATAGCAGGGGTTTCCTGTATTAGACAACTGAAGTTAATAAATGCCAGTAAGCATAATGAATGCAGAGCAGAGGAATACCAGTAGAGGGTGATGACCAGCTGTAACAAAATCATACTAAGAGCTATCACTCCAAGAAACTGACATTAACATCTTCAAAATTCTGGAAAGGATGAGAGATTCCAATCTCAGAAAATTGTTATATGCTGTAGGTTACTAAAATCTCATCTTAAATTAGTGGCTGGACAATAGCATTCTGTTTTCAACAATGTGGTTCAGGTTCATCTTATGAGTCTGTTATTCAATAGCTGTGACTGATTTTTTTTAATATGGTTTCAAGTTTACCTAAAAACAGAATCAGATTTCCTTCTTTATACCTCCTCTCTGGTTCCTCACCTCACTCATGTCACCCTTTATTTTTTACCTTTGTTCTTATTTGACTCTGAATAAGAGAATCCTGCAGCTTGTCCTGTTTTGCGACCAAATAAACTCCAAAGATTTGGGCCAGTCTTGTGCACTCCACCTTTTTCAACTGTGTGGCACTGAGAGCATTTCTGTACAAAGATTTTCTTGCCCTTTTCAACATCACCCATATCGATCTATTATAAAGCAAAATGCAAACAAGAAACTCAAAAATATTTCTGAAAACATAATGCCTGTTTATCAGGTATACCATCTACACATATATAATTTCCATCTTGAAAGATTAGTTAAGAGGAAAAGACAGTTTTGGAAGCTAGCTAATGGAATTGTTAAGCTGAACTTAATCTGAATAGGAGAATTTGTGGGACACTAGTAAACTTCAGAGTCCTTTGTATCATTTAGCAATTTATGACTATGAATAAAGTTTTAGAGACAACCTAATACTGAAATAAGTTAAAATGTAAGATGCAAGATACTGTGTTGCATCTTTAAAAGTTAAAAGACAGTTAAGAGTACTTCAAGTCACCACTTCCAGGTTGCTCTGTGGACTTGAGGCAACTCCGGGGAACCTATTAAATGACATTAGCCTCCTAGAATTGCATGGACAAAGTGCTCCACAGAATGTCTGGAGTACTGTGGCTTTGTTCCATTCACCCCCTACAACACGACTTCGAAGGACATGTTCAAAAGCCCTCCAGATATCTCTATTGTACTTTTATCATAAACATCCTGGCAGAACCTGAATCTTTAGGATCCCTTTATCCCAGTAGTTTCTAGCCTTTTTGGACTCATGGCACTCCTCAGTGGACTTGAGGGACCACTCCATAAGTTTTGTGAATTGAGTGGTGCACAGTTTCAAAATTAATTTATATAGTACAGTGCTTACCTCCTTCCAGAGAGGTTGGACAGTGGGAGTGAGGGGTTAGTAGACAAGGACAAACTTGAGTCTATCCTTATCTGCTTATCTCTTCATACCTCCCCTTGTGGCACCCCTCAAAGGATCTGGCAGCACCACCAAGTGCTGCCACACCCTGGCTGAGAATCACTTCTTTATCCTTTATCCAGGCTTTGCATCGGAAAGAAAATGAAGATGTTACTCCATGCTGACAGACGTTCAGTTAAAGGCATGATAGGATCTGATCCCCAATCCCAATGATCATGCCTCCTGACATGCCATCTGTGATTGTGGGATTGGAAATCATATCCAATGAAACCCTACTGCCAGTAAAGGGAGTCTGGGATCATGACCCTGGGCTCCTTCTGCACTGGCAAGTAGCATGCGTGGTACATGGTGCCCGTGTGGTTGAGAGTGCCAGTCAGCTGACTGGTGCTTCAGTGGTTGGGAGCTCTGATTAGCTAATTCAGATGCCTGCAACTGGGAGCACTGATCAGTTGATCTGCTCTCTCAGCCCAAGCCACGTGTTCAGTTTAAGGTGTGATAGAAATCAGCCCCAAAATTATTACCCATATTTTCAGTAATAAGTTTGTGGCTTATTCCCTGTTTTACCATGCCATTAATTGCATGAACATGTGGCCCTGTTACCACTTAAGATGAGATTAACTGGTTAATCATGTCTTAAGTGTAATGTCTGCCAGGGTCCTGTTTCCTTACCCTTCACACACTGTACAAATGCACTTTTAACAAACACTCAATTAATGCAGTGTCTATAGTTTGATGCAGTAATTCTCAACCAAGCATGGAGAGCCTGGAGATCCTTCCAAGGATGCATTAGGGTGCCACACAATGTTAGCACTTTTAGGGCATAAGATAAAGCCAACGATTTCATACAAGAGTCTAAAATTGTTTTAACTTGCTGTGAGCTTTCTGAGTTTTTTGCAATAGAAAAATTGCTCTATCATTTTTCTATAGTTAAAAAATGAGTGAAACCTAAGAATTGGCATTTTCCAAAGGCTGCCTTGAGTTTAATGAGGACTGTCTTAAGTGTAAGAAGTTGAGACCAACTTGTTTAATATATATTACCTCCAGTCCTTCATATAAAAGGAATACACACCAACAATGGATTTCCCCTTAAACTGCAAAGATGGTCATATCATGACAAGTACTTCTCTAGGGAGGGAAGCATGGAAAGTTGCAACCCCCTTTAGATTTAAATTTACCTCTATGTGAATTATTTTCCTCTTTATTAAACTTAAAAAACACAATAAACAGCAAGTTTCTAATGAAAGACTAAGAAGAATTGTAAGAAAAAATACTGTCCTTATACCCAGAAAGGATGTTAAAAATGAACGCACATTAAATTCTATATTCATGAAGAATTTTTGCTTTAAAAAAAGTGAAACATAATAGCATGCATATACAATAAATCATATACAGTAAGTACCCAACAGTATGATGTGAAACAAAAAACATAGGACATAAAACAAGACTGGCCTTAAAATTTGATTGCAAAAGGACGCAATATTCACCTGAATCAACACTTTTGCATTTACACATCAATATAAAATATGTTTCTAATTATCGTCATACATTTTCAGTACAGTGCCAAGATTTTCAAGCCTGGCTGCCAACACTTAGGCTCCCAAATACAAATTTAAACAACTGAAAAGGCTCAGAATTCCACAGGATTTCATCAACATTAAGCTAAATATAAAGATGCCTAGACTAAGAACTGGGAGCCTAATTTTAGGCACATAGATTTAAAAATGTTAGCAAAAGTCACTGAACTCTGGAGAATGACCAAGAGCTGGCCAGGTTCCAGTTTTGGGCAGAGCGCACTGCCTGTGTGTGCCGCGCTTCTTTTTTGCATGGTTTTTTTTAACCCAGGACCTCCTGGAGTCAACCCCCACCCCCATGCTACTACCTTGCAGCATGGAGAACACCTGAATTGTCATGCCTGGCACTGCAAGCAGGTCTGCGGCGCCATGTACCACCTGGCCGCCTGCACTCATCTGGACGTGGCTTAAGAATCCAGTCGTAATTGTATCCATCTAAAGCCAGAAACTGAGCCTAGACAACTAAAAAAAAAAGCCCTAAAAGAAACACTTTAAGTTTAAATCGGAAGGGAGGGGCGGGGGGACATGATATTTTGCTCAAGCAGTAGTGCATTTCCTGCTTGAAAATTTATTCCATCCTTTACTTCAAGTGTAGAAAAGGTGATCGCTGACTTATTTTAGTTGCTCATCTATTGAAGACAAGTACTACCTTCATGCTGGTGGTTAACAAAACAGTGAGTATAAGTAAACATTTTAAATATTTAATAATTTGCTAGGTTGTCAGCGTATGATTTTTCTCCTTATGTTGCATTAGGCTGGAAAAGCTTATGTAGACGTTTGTTACCTTTATATTCTATACAGGAGATGAATAGTTTGCATTAAGATAATTCAATGAACACATTACTGTGGTAAATAGTTAGAAGCAGGAGGCAGGGACTGGCTAGGTAACAGCAAGACGCGTGGGAGAAAACCGCAATTATCTACAAGCGTTGCAGGAGGAGGGTGGGTTATAAGGAGCTGTAAGACGACGCACTTAGCAGTGACTGGGTGGAAGTAGTAAAAATCGAGGCTCCCGAGAGAGAGATGCTGATAACAGCATCCCACGAGCAGCGGAGGAAGCCCCCTCCACAGCCTCAGCTGCCGTCCCGCCCCGCCCCGCCCCGCCCCGCGGCCACTGCCAGGAGGCAGGGCGCAGGACCC